TACATGCATGATGTCTGAAGGATCACATAGAAATAATCTTATCAAGACTAAAACACTAGACTACATGCATGATGTCTGAAGGATCACATAGAAATAATCTTATCAAGACTAAAACACTAGACTACATGCATGATGTCATTGTATATTTAGCATAAAGCAGTCCTAGAACCCTGTAACTAATTATGTTTAATACTATTGGATTTGTATAACATCTGTATTAAATAATCAAACAGTATGGAAAGGATAGGTGCTAATGCTTGATGATACTTCTCATTCTTTATTATGATAAGATATTATATCATGATATTCTATGATATAATAATACGTAATTCATAAATCTATTTAATAACCTGAATTATTTTTCCAAGTTTCAGAATATTTGAATGCAAGTAGCTGTTTTTTGGGTTAACAAGCCAACACTGATTGAAAGGCTTAATTTTTCTTGAAAAAACAAAACAAAATCACCATATTATATAACTGTCATTTGAAAATCAAAACTGCTATCACACTGGCTTGAAGAAAAGTATTAGTTTTAAGTATCTCTGTTTTAATGATTTTACAATCATAATTCTTTTTTTTTTCTTACAAGTAATTACATCATAAACAATATTTTTTCTTAGCATGATATTACTCTAATTACTAACTTGTATCACTTACTTTCATATAAAAACATAATCAAAAACTAATGTAGAGAAACTGGTTAATTGTTGTTATACTACAATCAATTCTCGCTGAAAATAAATCAGTATAAAATATCTCCAACTCTCACCACCCCACCCCGTCCCGTCCTTGCCATTATGTTCGTATCATATTAAAAACTGTACTTGCTGTGGTTAGTGATTTTTTTTCAAATATTTTCCTACATCAATATAAACAAGATAAAAATTCTGAGTCACTGTTCGAGAAACAAAAAAGCAGAAATTAATAAAGTTTACAACGGAGAACATTATTTCAACAAATGTATGAAAATTTAGTACTGATGTTGACAAACAAACAAACACATCTTTTGTCAAAATCCCCATCTCTAATAATATTTGAGTCATCTGTTTTGGCTCCTATTCAACCCATTACTGACAGATGTATCATTACAGTGACTCGTGCTGTTTTGACATGCAACTTTGTAACACAGGTGAAACATGAGAGCAGAAAATACATCTAAACCTCCTATATCAGTTAATAACAAAACTATTTTTTGACATAATGTGTTGGTCATGGAAACAAATTAAAACCAAACTTTCATTCGAAGGCCTTAATTTTTGTTTTCCGTAAAGCAGTAATAAGTACAACTTCATACTTACATCTTGGATGATAGTGAAGAAATTCTTTTGAAGGTCTTTTGCTAAATCTAACATTTCTAGAACTTGCTCATACTTCTCAATGGCATTCTGAAATTAGTAAATATAAGACGTAAATTTAAATTAGCAGCAGAATGAAATCATTTTTGTAAAAAGAAAAAAAAATTATTAAATCTGAATGAAAAAGTGGAAAAGAAAAATGCTTTGACCAATATCAAAAAATATTCTGTACGTTTACGTCTGTTGGACAAGACAGGAATAAATTTTCACTAGCAAATTCAAAATTTTTGTCCCACCAGTTAAATTTGTATCTTTAATCGCAACAGTTCATCTGTCTGGATCTGTAACAAAACATTACCACAAGCACAAGGTTATAATAGTTCTACAAATTTATTAAAAACTAGTTCAAAGATAACCATTATTTTGAAACATAAAACATCAAAATGGATAACAACGATCTTATAAAATCTGCACGCAATTGAAAAAAAGGTTAATGTTGTTGTAAATGTAAAAGTAACGAACCAGCTGTAACTTAGTGCTTCAGGTGTGTTTTAAAGTGAGCTATTAATAGACGTATCCTGGGCTGATGTTTATTGTCAACGGTGTCTGTAATATAGATTATATGTTAATATAACAGTTACCATGCTCAGTGCCTTCTTAATTTTATATAGTATTATTCTTTTTTACCTTTAAAGAAATAACTAACTAGAGACCATACATACTTTGTGCTTCAATTCCAATGATGTCTTACAATTTAGATTAATGTTTTGTTAAAGTACCCGGTTTTAAAAGTCACCTAAACTTACAGTTACAGTGGAGATAAATGTATTTAAATGTCACTATGTTTTCTCCAGAAGGCTGAAAAACAGTTGTAATCAAATTTGTTTAGAACAGTCAGTGGTCAACTTGAGGGTGGTACCTTTTTTTTTTAACCTGCACTTATCAATAACAACATTTGTAGCATATTTCTATAGCCCCAATTAACTAGGTCACCTTTAATTAAAACAATACTTGAAAATCTTAAAGGTATATCTTAAATACAACCAAATCAAACATGAGCACACACAAATCATTAATAAAGTAGAGGTACCTGGCCAAGATTCCCTCCCTCTACTAAACATGAGCACACACAAGTTATTAATAAAGTAGAGGTACCTGGCCAAGATTCCCTCCCTCTACTAAACATGAGCCCACACAAGTTATTAATAAAGTATAG